ATAGGAATAATGCAAGATCTTTGGCACAGCTAAGTATACGCATGGAGTGACATGGTATGACAGGTATCTGAAGGGTAAGGAAAGTTTTATCATGGTGCTCTATTACTCCTTTCCGACAAATGTCATTGATAGCCAGAATTTAGATTCTGGGAGGAGAAATTTAGGACAGTTCACTCTTACTAGCAAAGCCTGTTCTTCTTCTTAGTGTCTCTTGCTAAATAAAGCCTTCCCTTTTTTCATCATTTGGGGTGACCTTTATGTGACCAGCTTGGGTCACTCTGACATGTTTGTACACTTGGGCACAGGCCACCTTTTGGAATCTTACCCTTGGTTGAAGGCTTGTAAAATGTAGTTACACACATCTGTTGTTGGTACCTTTATGTGACCAGCTTGGGTCACTCTGACATGTTTGTACACTTGGGCACAGGCCACGTTTTGGAATCTTACCCTTGGTTGAAGGCTTGTAAAATGTAGTTACACACATCTGTTGTTGGTCTTTTAAACTGCCTAAAATGGAATGCCTTCTGTTTAACCTGCTTAAACAAATAGCTCACATTCATTAAAACCAGTTCTAATCCCATTTGCTCTTAAAACAGTAGCAACAATACACCTGTCCCTGCTAAACCAGGCTAAAATGATTTTGAAGTGTTTCCTCCTTTCAATTGGTAGTTAACTTTACATTGCTTTGTAAAATCTCTTTTATTGTTATCTAAAATAATTATCTAAAGTTTATATAGTCACTAAACTTTTCACAGTTTAACTTGTCTCCCATATTTGGCCTGTTCAAGGTCAAGAATAGCTTCATAATTCTCCCCTTTTTCTCCTAAATCATCAATTTGCCCTCTACACTGGATCATTCCCATCAGCATGCTAGTATATTCTTATTTATTTTTTTCATTTTAAAAAATGCTCTTGATTTTACTTTCCTTCCAGCTACTTCCAAAACTCCTCAGAAGACTTTATCTCTATATACTGTCTCCCTTTCCTCTTCTCTTATCCTCTGTTAAATCTATTCCCGTCAGAATCACCCCCCAGTATTCCACCCAAACTGCTCTTTTTTAGGTCACCAGTGATCTCCACATTGTTAAACCTGATGGTCAGTTATCAGTCGTCTCTTTCTTGATCTTTCAACACAGTAGATTATTTTCCTTAAAATATGACAGCTCCCACAACACCACATTCTTGTGGTTTACTTCCCACCTCTCTGCCTGCTCATCCCATCTCCTCAACCTGTCTGGCATGCAGTAGGTGCTCTATAAATATTTGATTACTGAATGAATGAAGAAATGGATATTGATTAAATGCCAAGTCACTATACTTTATATTAGAGACATTCAACAAGACACAGTACTTTCAGACTTGGAACTTCTAATCCAGTGAGATCCAGACAAATTAACTTGTGGTCATTGTGATTAGGGTGTATCATGGAAGTACTGAGGATTGTGAGTACGCAGAGGAGTTTGCAACCCAGACTTGGGGAGTCAGGGAAAGATAACATATAAACTGAGACTTCTGGTTTCCAGTACAGTTTGTAAGGAGCTTAGAAGGTGCCACTCTATCCTAACAACAAGTAAAAAGCTGAACAAGTTAAAAAAAAAACAACAGTTCTTAGAGTAGTCAGAGCTGTGAGGTCACAGGGCAAAACACTGCTCCCAAAATTGGAGAGACAGACAAGCAGATACAGAGAATTACAATGTATGGGTGCAGAAACCCAAGAGCAGAAACCTCAGAACCAGTGCTGTAGTAGGAAAACCTGAACTGTGGTTCATAATTCGCTGGAAGCTCAGTGTAGACACATCTGAGAGTTAAAAATTCCGGGGGACCCAGTCATCGGAGGGCCCCCACACTTTTGTGAATTTTACCCAGGAGCTCTGTTTTGTTCCCACAGTGAAATTATGAGAAAAATTTCCTAATGTTTCAGGAAGGGGGAAGGGGAAAGGAACTACAGTTGACCCTTGAACAACGTGGGAGTTAGGGACACCCACTTCCTTGCATCTGCTTATAACTTTCCCCACATAGTTATTATTTTTTTTCCCCCCACATAGTTATTAAGCAATAAAATAACAGGTAGTTAAGTACTTCAGCAGTTGGCCCTGTGGAACCCAAGCATAGCCAGCTCTTCATTTAGTTGGGTTCCAAATATAAGTGAACCCATGCTATTCAAACCCATGTTGTTTAATGGTCAATTATATTTTGAAGTACACCAGAGAGTTCTGTTGTTAACAAGGCCTGCCCTCAGGAGAAACTATTTTGTCAGAACTTAAACAACCCGGGGAAAGGGAAATAGCCAACTTCAGCCCTCTCTAGGCATTCCATCCCACTAAAAGGGGGGGGCGGTGATTAAAAGCATTGGTGAAGTTCACAGTCCAGGGACACAGACTTATCAAAAGACTGAGACCTAATCATAGGACTACAAAATACTTCTCTTCCCCCTCACACCTTACTGTATATTACTAAAGACCTATTTACCATAGTTCCTTTTACCCAATATGTTATGTTCACTTCTCAACAGAAATTTACTAAACAGCAGAAAACAGTTTGAAGTGACAACACAAGCATCAGAACCAGACCCAGATGTGGTAGGAATGTTGGAATTACCAGACCATGAATTTAAAACAACTATGATTAATATGGGCTGTAATGGAAAAAGTAGGCAACATGCAAGAATAGATGGGTAATGTAGGCAGAGTGAGAGGCATTCTAAGCAAGAATAATAAAAAAAAATGCTAGAGATCAAAAGCACTGTAACAGAATGAAGAGTGTCTTTGATGGGCTTATTAGTAGACCAGACACAGGTGAGAAGTCCCTGATCTTGAGAGTACATCTACAGAAATTCTGAAATGGAAAAGCAAAGGAAAATATACTGGAAGAAGAAAAAAAAGAAAAAACTAGAATAGAATGTCCAAGAACTGTGGGACAACTATAAAAGGTATAACGTACGTGCAATGGAAATATAAGGAGAGACGTTAACAAAAGCAATATTGAAAACAATAATGATTTAGAATTTCCCCAAATTAATGTCAAATACCAAACCACAGCTTCAGGAAGCTCAGAGAACACTAAGTAGAATAAATACCAAAAAAACAAGAACAAAAAAGCCAAGCTAGGCGTATCATATTCAAACTTCAGAATATCAAAAATAAAGTCTTGAAAGAAGCTAAAGGGGAAAAAACAAAACAAAGCCCACCTTACATATAGAGGATCAGAGATAAGAATTATATCTGACTCCTCCTCAGAAACCATACAAGCAGGGAGTGGGGTAACATATTTAAAGTGTTGCTGAGAGGAAAAAAGCCCTCTAGAATTCTGTACCCTGTGAAAATATCTTTCAAAAGTGGAAGAGAAATGAAGACTTTCCAGACAACAACAACAAAAAAAATTGAGGGAATTTGTCTCCAGTAGACCTGTCTTTCAAGAAATATTAAAAGAAGTTTTTCAGGGGGAAGGAAAATGATATAGTTCAGAAACTTGTAACTATGTAAAGAAAAAAGAGCTTTGGAAAATAAGTAAGTGAAGGTACAATAAAAACTTACTTTTTTATCTTAATTGATCTAACAGATGTTTGTTCAAAATGATAACAGCAATAATGTATTCAGTTATGTATGCTTTTTTGTACATATATGCTATGTGTAAGTGAAATGAGTGACAGCAATGATACAAAAGACAGGAGAGAGGAATTAGGAGTATTTTATTATGATAAGGTACTTGCACTACCCACGAAGCAGTATAGTATTATTTGAGACTGGACTTGGTTTAGTTGTAAATGTATATTGCAGACTCTAGGGCAAATGCTAAAAAAAGAAGTAAATTGATATGCTAAGAAAGGAAAGAAAAATGTAATCATGTAAAATGCTGAATTAAACCATTAAAGTCAAAAAGAGTGGAAGAGTAGGAACAAAGAGCAAGGGCAACAAGTTGAAAACAGTAACAACTATGGTAGATGTTAGTCCAACTATATCAATAATCACTGTAAACAGCGATGGTCTAAATACACCAGTTGAGAGACAGATATTGTCAGAATGGATCAAAAAACCAGACCCAACTATATGTTGTTTATAAGCAACTTACTTAAAATATAAAGATCCATGTAGATGAAAAGTAAAGGGATGGAGAAATATATGCCATGCTAACACTAATCAAGAGAAAGCAGGAGTAGCTATATTAGTTTCAGACAGAGCTGACTTCAGAGCAAGGAAAATTATCAGGGAGAAAGAGAGGCATTAGTAATGATAAGTAGTCAGTTCTCCAAGAAAACATAACAGTCTTTATCTTGTGTGCACCTAACAACAGGGCATCAAACTACGTGAGGCAACAACTGATAAAACTTCAAAGAGAAATAGATGGATCCACTATTGTAGTTGGAGACTTCAACACTCCTGTATAAGAGATGGACACATCCAGAGGCAGAAAATCAGTAAGGACATAGTTGAACACTACACCATCAATCAACTGACTATAATTGATCTATAGACCATTTCATCCAGCAACAGCAGAATACATGGAACATACATCTGGGCCATAAGCAGAGACCAGAAGGAGGATGAGTAGGAGTTACTCAGGAAATGAGAGAGAAAGAAGTATGACGGGCAGAGGACACAGAACATGGAAATGCTGAGACAAGAGAAACCATAATGTGTCCTGGGGGACTCAGAGGACTGTAGTTCAGAATGACTGAAGCATAGCATAAGACAGGAGTTGAAAGTGGTAACCAAGACCAGATCACAAAGGGATTGGAAGTCACCTTAAGGAGTTTGAGATTGATTTTAAGGGCGTTATGTCACGTTGAGCAGTTTTGGGCAGTGAGAAGAAAGAATGAGAAGTGGTTAAGATAGGAGAAGGTTATAAAAATTAGGAGATTTTTGTAACAATCTACACTGGAGATAATGGTGGTCTGGTCCAAGGTTGTGACAGAGGGGAAGTGAGAGTGAGCAGATCCCATAGTTACTTAGCAAGTAGAACCAACAGGATTTGGTGCAAGGAAAAGCGAAGAGTCATAGACGATGGCCTGGGTTTCTGGTGTGAAAAGTGTAGTTGATGAGCTTGAGCACACAAAGACAGGAAAAGCAGGTTTGAGTTGTGGTGGGGGAGATGCATGAAGTCCTTTTGTGCATGTCGTTTGAAATGGGACATCTAGGTGGTTACATTGAGTCTGGAATGGACTAGAGATCTAGGATGGAGAGAAAAATAGGTTTGGGAGTCCTCATCATGTAGATGGTACTTCAAGTGGATAAAGTCACCCAGGAAGCAGGTAGGAAGTGATGATAGAAGAAAGCCTAGGACAGATAGACTCTTCTGAAGAGCACCAGTATTCAAGGGAAGGCTAGAGGAAGGAGAGTGGGGAAAGGACACTGAAAGAGAGAAATTAGAGATGCAAGAGAATTTAGCATCATGAAAGCCAAAGAAATGGAATATACCACAAAGAGAATGTCACTAGCGTCCTATACTGCCAAGAAGTCCATAAAATGAGGATGAAGTGTTCATAGGTTCTACTAAGAAGAGAGTCCTTAGTGAGCTCTCTTGAGAACAGATTTGGTGCAGTGTTGGGGGTAGAAGGTCATGTTTTGAGGAGTGATGGAGAGGTGAGGAGGTATAGACAGCCCTTTCACAAAAGAGACAAGAAAAAGAATAGTAGCTGGGGGAAGGGCTGTGTGAGGAAAATGAGGTTTATTTTATGTTTCTTCTCATTCCAGGAGACAGCATATCTAGGTACAGATGGCCAGGAGCCAGCAGGGTGTGAGAATTTGATAATTTGGGTGAAAGAGGGACAATCAGTGGGTCCTTAGAGAGGTGAAAGGAGATAGGATGCTGGACAGAGGTGACAAGAAACCACATGGACAGGAGGAGGCAGTCACTTGTTTCATTGATACAAGTCAGAAGAAAGATGTGTATAGGTGTAGGTAAATGGCATGGTTTGGTAGCAGTAAGCTGAGGGGTTTCTTTTGAGGTGGCTTTTGATTTCTCAGAAGTGAAATCATATGTTAAAAGTAAGGTGGGAGGGCCGGGCTGGTGGTGCACTCGGTAGAGTGCGGCGCTTGGGAGTGCGGTGGCACTCCCGCCGAGAGTTCGGATCCCATATAGAGACTGGTCCACTCAACCAGTGCGGGCGCGACACTGAGGGTTGTGATCCCGTTGCCGGTCGCGGTACGGGCGCAACACTGAGGGTTGCAATCCCTTACCGGTCACGAAAAAAGACAAAAAGGAAAGAAAAAAAAAAAGTAAGGTGGGAGGTGATAGAGACCATGGTTTCAGAATAGACAAGGTTTAAAATACCCACGGTGGAGAAATGGAAGGAGAGCTGGCTAAGGAAACATAATGATCACCATGGTTCATTGAGACCCCAGTGAGATTAGTAGCTTTGAGTTTATAATGACAACTATCTCCCCACATGGAGGATTTTCTCCAGTAGTGCTTCATGGTACAGGTGTAGGCATGGCAAAGATAATTTTTAAAATAAGCTTTTTAATTTCAGAATAATTTTAGATTTATACCCCTCACCCAGTTTTCCCTCTTGTTAACTTCTTTGATCATCATGGTACATTTGTCAAAACTAAGAAACTGACATCGGTACATTATTGTTAACTAAACTATAGACTTTACTGGACTTCACTCATTTTCCCACTAATGTCCTTTTTCTGTTCCCGGATCCAATCCAGTTGCATTTAGTCATCATGTCTCCTTATTCTCCTCTGGTATGTGACAACAATTTCTCTGTCATTTCTTGTTTTTCTTGACTTTGACAGTTTTAAAGAGTTCTGGTCATGTACTTTGCAGAATGTCCCTCATCTGGATTCTTTTGATGTTTCCCCTCAAGATTAAACGGGTTTAGGGGTTATTGGGAAGAACAACACAGATGTGGTTCCCTCTTGCTTTTATGTACCCTTCCCACATCTCTCTCCTCACCATTGAGACACACACACGTGCTCACACATGTGCACACTCACACTTACTTATATACAGTTGTCCCCCTTTATCTGCGGTTCCAGTTACTCGTCAACTGCAGTTTGAGAATAGGTGAGTACACCATAGTAGAATAAGAAATTTTGAGAAAGAGAGAGAAGAAAAGACCACATCCACATAACTTTTATTTCAGTATGTTGTTATACTTGATTTATTTTATTATTAGTTATTGTTGTTAATCTCTTACTGTGCCTACTTTATAAATTAAACTTTATCATAGCTATTATGTATCAAAAAAACCAGTATATAAAGGGCAGTAGTATACATAGTTTCAGGCATCCACTGGGGGTCTTGGAACGTATCCCCCATGGATAAGGGGGGACTACTTTATTAATTTATCTGGCTAAATCGTTTGAGAGTTCGTTGCAGACTTCATGACACTTTATGCCTAAATATTTCAGCATGTGTCTCCTAAGACCAAAGGTATTTTTTCCACAAAACAAGACAGCTTTCATATTTAGGAAATTGAACATCAATACAACGCCATTGTCTAATAATAGTCCATATTCAAATTTCCCCAGTAATGTCTTTTGTAGCTATTTTTTCTCCCCTGGGATCCAGAATTCAACAAAAGGCCACACGTTGCATTTAGTTGTGGAGGTAGTTTTTGTGCAGAATTTCCCTCAATTTTTACTTGTGTGATTGTTTCATGATTAGACTCAGATTAAACATTTTGGCAGGAAAACAGCACTAGTGATGTTTATCTTTCTCAGTGCCTTACATCAGGAGGGCACGATGTCACTGTCCCACTGTTAGTGATGCTACTTTGCTTACTTGGTTAAGGTGACTTCTAGGTTTTTGCATTGTAAAGATACATTTTCTTCTTTGCAGTTAATAACCTTTGGGGTCATATTTTGAGAATGTGTGGCTATTCTTTTCCCTATCAGTCTTTCACCCAGGGGTTTTAGAATCTCCTGATAATTCTTCTTTGAATTAATTATTATTTTGGTAGTTGCAAAAATGGTGATTTTTAAAATTCTGTGATTTCTTCTCCATTTATTACTTGGCATTCTGTATGATAACTCTGAGGGCCATTGAGCAGTAATAATTGTCACAAAGATAGATTTTGCTTTGCTCCCAAAAAGATGAGTTTCCAAAAAATTATGTAATAACTGATGTATATTTCCATAGGAAAATTTCAGAGGTGTATTTCCATAGTAAGAAAAAGCCCTGTAGCCTTATAAAAAATATATTTAAGAAAAGATATCTTTTAATGTATTTAATGGTTAAAAAACCTTTTAATAAAACGTAAACAATCATAAGCAATTGATAGCATACAATACTAAAAACACAGTATTGTGCATATTATAAACAGGTGGTAAAGATAAGTCTTTTCTTGCTGAAGGATTATTTCAGACTATTTTTTGTGTAACCAAAAATGAATTTTAAATCTTCTGACATGTTTGGAATATGGGTGCTGACATCACAGGTGTTTAATTTTATCTTCAAAGCCGTGTTCAGGTTACTAGCCCTTTGGGCATCTATTTTCTCATTTGTTTGTTGAAGAGTTGGACAGATGATAAAATCCTTGAAATATGTAGTGTTGGATGGTTAAAACATTTATTATTTTAGTTAGGCTTCCTACTCCCTTTGGGTAAAGAGGGTATCATCCTATTGCTTTGTTTACACTCACCGGAATAAAAGCAGTAAGAAAGAAGTCAAGGGGAATAGGAGAAAGGAAAACAAAATATGGTCAAAAACCATGAAGCATGAAAATAGGTTATGGTAGGACTCAGTTTCCCTTTGAGGAGAATATGCTATTGGAATCTCTTCTTTTTTCTACTCAAGGAGCTTTTCTAATAAAGACTTCCCATGACAAACAAAATTAAAGATATCTTCATAATTTTGGAAGAGGAGTTTAATAACTCACTAGCTCAAGGTTCTTTCCTGTTCAGTCCCTCAACTGCTCCCAGCTGGATCCTCACCAGAACTGCTCCTCTGAAAATAGACAAGGAAGACAAGATCAGTTTCTACTCTTAGGTACCTCAGGAAAATTTATTCTGCATTATTCCATATTTCAGCTGCCTCTTTAGCTTCTGTGCTCTAGAAGGACTAGAAAACTGGCTGTCTACTTATCACTAATTTTTTATTAAATAGCCAAGGCATTTTGTACCTGAGCTGGTACAAAATGGTCCCTGTGAAGAATGACATAGTGGGAGAGAGAGGAAAGGACTGGAATATTCCACTGGGTGATCATGTACTTTAGGAGAAAATCCAAGGAAGAAAAGTTCATTGCACCTTTTTGTTTTAATAAAAAAAATTTCCATTTAACTACACAGAGTCTCTTACAAAGTGTGAGCCATCTGTCACCAAGAGTGAGTGGCAAAAGAAGCTGACTCCGGAGCAGTTCCATGTCACGAGAGAAAAAGGAACTGAGCCGGTAAGCTGTGTACAGTCTACTGATTAGGTAAGATTAGGGGTGTGGGGGATGGGAATAGATCCGTCTACAAAACCTCACTCATTGGGCTGGCCGGTTAGCTCACTTGGTTAGATAGAGCATGGTGCTGATAATACCAAAGTCAAGGGTTCGGATTCCCAGACCCGCCAGACACCAAGAAAACCCCCAAACCTAGCTCGTCATTGTCTACCGCACAAATCTGCCTCTCCTCCATCACTCCCCTTCTTGGAACATGAAAATCCAAGTCGTAGAAACCTGAAACCTTCCCCTAGACACATCGCTCTCTGGCCTCATGGCCTGTTGGTCTGTTCTGCCTCCGCACTAACCCCATATCATGTCACTCCCCTCCACTGCTCTTGCCTGGTGCTGGCAGGCTACTGTCATCCCTCATTGTGTGTCCACAGCCTCTACCTGTTCATGCACAGCCCTTCTTGCTCCTCACCAAGCCATTCTCCATGCTGCAGCCAAAGAAGTTTTTCCAGAGCCCAAATCTGACCACAGTTCTCCCCAGCTCAGAATCCTGCAGTGGCTTCCCACTGCTTTCAAGGAAAAAGAAAAGGATGCAGTGGCTGATAAGGTCCAGAAGGCTCTGACCCTTGCCTCCCATCCCATCCTCAAATCCAGCCATTTTTCCTCTTGATCTGTGCCCTTTGGCTCTCACATACCCTGGGCTGCCTTCCCTTTTACTGCCCTGTTCGTTCTCCTCTCTCATCACGCCCCCCCCCCCCCCCCCCCCCCCCCACCCC